TGGTTCTTCGTTGATGATGATGGGACTATTTCAGCATTGTCAATTATGAACTCTTGGTGTGTTCTTATTTGGTGAATCTCGTGATGCAATTATGTTGTTGGTTCGAGGTCAAGACTATCTGGACTCATATGTATGATGCTGTTTGATTGTTGAAGTTCGCTATTGTTCATCTTCCTTGCACCTACATGAAGGCAAATCAAATCTGCATGAAAGCTTCTTCGTTTTTTTTTTTTGAAACAATCGCTCGGTCTATTAGTGGGGAGCTGCACTTGTTGGAAAACGGGTCCAACGTCCCTATACAGAAGAATCATTCATAAAACATTATCAAAGTTACCCGTCAGCATTGATTACCCCAGGTTACCTTGGGGGATTGACTGAGCGGTAGGAAAGGCCATGGCGATAGAAGTCCCTCTTCACCCCTTGAATAGGGCGCCCAAGGGTGTTAACGGTATATTTGGATCAATCGTAACCCAGTCTCTGAAAATCAGGTGGTAGTCTCTGCACACCTCAGAGTCTTCAGAGTCTCCTCTCTCAGCCCTTTTCCATTTGACCTGTCCCAGGTTTCCCCCTTGGGGTTCCCTAAGCCAGCAGCGGCTAAATTCTTCAATGTGTTTCCAAATTTCAATCTGAGAATGTGAGTGTTGGATTTTTTCTTTTGTAAGTTCCCAATTAATTCCGATTGCTGTTTGAATTTGCTGTTTAATTGAGTCAATGGATTCATGACCATCCAACCTTGCCCCTTCCATTTCAAAGGTACATCTTCTCAACCAGATGGCCCACAACACTGCTCTCCTTCCTGTTATGTATAAATTGTAGGTGATATCATTATAAGGATCTGGAATCCAAGATTCTGGCAAGATTGCCTTCCAATTTCAGGGCCATTGGTATTGGGGACTTAGTTGTCTCCATGTTCCCACTATCTCCATAACCAGATAGCTCCTAGACACTGTAAGAAGATATGTTGAATAGTTTCTTGAATTGTTTTTATTGGAAAGGCCGACGTTCAGAATCTACACAATGGGAGTGTTATTCCTTTTAGTTCCAACTTAGTTCGGTCTATCAACCAATCCTTCGTAGGAAGGCAACAATGTTCAATTTGCCACTGTAGCAAAGCCACCTTGGGCGGAACCATTTGATTGACTTCAGGTCTTCTTTATTGACATTTAGTTGTTTCATCCACCTCGTTATCTTTCAATTGATGCATGGTCTTAACATTCTATATGTTGATTTAATTGATAAAGTATGAAGAGCTCTCTTGTATGTTTGACCTTTTACATAGATGTAGTCCAGTTCCAATTTATGGGGTCAAGTGTCAAACAAAGAGAGAAACAAGTAACGGAAAAGACTAATATGTGGCAAGTCAAACCTGCATGAAGCCTACATGAAGGCAAATCAAACCACATGAAAGTTGCATCCCTATACATGAAACAAAGAGAGAAACAAGTCACATAAAAGACTAATATGTGGGAAGTCAAACCTTCATGAAGCCCAGATGAAGACTGCATCTCTGTACAGACAACGATAGTGAAACAAACAGAAACAATTGTGCACCTGGACCTGTCTGCTTCGCTTGGTGCATCTCTTGCTCCAGTGGGGATTAGCTCCAGCGCAGCGACTACAAAAGAATCTAAATTCTAGTCTACAAATTCTTGTGGGTCATAATATCAAATGTTGGTCCGTGTGCTTTAGACGATGGGTGAAGATCCTATACCAAAGTGTCACGACAAGGGTCCAAGTGAATGGAAGACTAGTCCCTGTCATCCACCAAGAACGGTCAGTACAATAAGCGAACGCAATCACACCCTTTCTATTTGTGGTAGTCATGGAATCTTTGGCAGCGAACCTGAGAACAAACAAGTTTCAAAAAATAGAAGTGTCCTACATCCTAGAGGACACAATCGGATTCCCTATCTGTTCATTTTTTCCTTATGACCTCACACTCATGGTCGATGCATCCCAAGAAAACATGGCAGAGGTTCCAAACCTCATGGATCCTTTTTATGCTTCATCTGACTGACGGCGACAATTAGGATAGGCATGGGTCGGAGCTGGGGTGGGTAGTACCGTAGTGCTGCCTTGTAACTCAACTCGATTGAGGGTGTGAGGCCGGTAGAGGCTTGATTGGTACATGGCTCCTTTTAAGGGATGCTGAATTAATAAGATCATCTGAATTTAGGGATAGGATAAAAATTAAATCCTGAGGAGAATAACCTTCCGGTTAATCTTCCTAGTTTATAATACAGTAGTTCATAGCCTTTTGAATCATCCAGAATCTTCCTAAATGATCCGGAATCATCTGGAATCATCCTCAAATCATCCCGAACCATTATCAAGCATTGTATTCCTATTATAAGGGATGTTGGGCACGGTTCTCAGCACGTGCTGCTCCCCACGAATAGATCGGAAGGTCAACTCTGGAAACAATACTTTGGGGTGGTGGATACCCTAGCAACTGGGCAGACTGCCTAAAAACCCTCCAGTCAAATGGATGGCCATGGATGCACCGATTAGAGTATCAGGAGTTCAAACGACTGCAGACTCAGTGCGGGGGGAAGCCACCCTTGAACGACAAGTGGCTTACCCAACTGGTGTTGGAAAACCGCTCGGCGCACCTCGCTGATGGGATGCGCCTTGGTCATCAACAATATGGTGTTGGCCTCCCTGTGATACAAAACGGCCATCTGGACACTCAGTAAATGTGGCATACTGCGCAGCCACACGGGCCTGCAGGGCCTGTCCCGCAGTCTCAACCTAAAAGCCTAGAAACAAGGGCTTACAGGCCCCGTGTCGTTTCATCCTGAAAGACTGAAAAACGAGGGTCTGCAGGTCCTCTGTCGTTTCAGCCTAAAATAGGGCCTTCCAGGCCCT